GCGAAAGTCAGCACACCTTGTCCAAGATGATGAAGAGACTCCTACGAGGCGATGATTCAGGTTGTGGGTATAGACAGCTAATTGGCTAACATCTGACCAATACCGGTCTCGACAGATCTGGTCATGAACGATTTCTCATCCACATATGTGCTAGTCGCGCACCACATTACTCCACTGTTCTTGGACTGCTGTTTTGTTGACGGTCTGGAACGACTTGCATGTATGACCAAGCGCGCGCCGCCCACGGAGGTTCAAATAGATTGTCGGGGTTCCTCCAACACCGAGAGACGCGCTGAGATTAACGAGTTGAAAGACAGGACGAAGCAACAGCAGAACCTAATACATAGATCCGCCCATGAGGCAGGCGCCCAAGAAAGCAAGATTAATATCCATAAAGGCAACTAGTTTGTTCAGAATCTCCTGAAAAGGACTCAAGGACGTTCATTGGCCAACATACGACCAATCCAGAGACGTAGCCAGAACGTACCAATGAACGAGTTGACTAGGCTCTGGGCCTAACCTAGCTCCAGACCCCTCATAAACTCGGTGGCGAAACAAACACATAGCACTTGCCGCCGTTTCTCCCGTGTTTCGTGATCTGATAAGAAAGCTTGGTTGGACGCGTATAATTGCGAATGAGGATGACATAACTCATGAATCAAGGGCCCTGCGGATGCGAGGCTGAAAGCTCTATGAACTCGTGCCAGGCTGTCCCGAAAGAGACCGCTTCGTAAACAACTCCGTGAGGGGAGTCTGTCTGTCCCAAATAAGCCGATAAATAGATTCCTCTAGTCGTGAATAGTTGGTGCAAACGAAGACGCTGCGAATTTTCGGAATGCGGGAACCGACATGGTTGTCACTGGTCAGAATGAAACGAGCGATCGGCCATAACGGCCTACGCACGCGTGCATGCCAATTGAAGCGAGACGAATTACATCCAAATGGAGAGCTAGATAGAATGTGTGTTCTCTTGTACTAGTAGAAAGATAGAGAGCCCAATTCGCAGAATGGGTTAATTCTGAAATGAGTACAATGATGAGTGGCCTATCGACCGGATACTAGTAGATACAACAGCTGGAAGTACTGAGATAACAAAGAGCCTGAGACGAGAACATGGCTCGATGGTCACGTAAAAATGTCAATGGTCTTGCCGGAGCGAAGAACACGTCGTGTAATAGGCCGAGCGCTCGAGTCATCCTCCGTCGCCGAGGAAGTCTGCTGAATGGTGCGCTTCCTCTGCGCCGCACCTGTCTTTGACGATACGACAATTTCTGGGGCGCACGGAGGCTCAGATGGCGGAGGCGACTGTATCACTTCCCGCTTCTTATCTCCCGCCAGATCTGCTAGCGCGATGATGTCTGGCTGACTGGTCGGAACCTCTATGGGATCGCGGCGTACCGATGGAATACGGCGTCCAGGAAAGTCTTTTGCGCGAGTATTGCCCAGAAAAGAGAGGTAAAAGACTCGACCCAGAAGAAGATATGTATCGTGAATGATGCGGATATTCTCTTCAACCGAGTGGAGATGTTCACGTCCACTAAGAGTGCCTATGTTCATGCAAGGAACGAGGGAGGGAAACATGAAGCACGGATGAATGCGCGTACGCACTGTTGGAAAGTCGTTGTAGGGAAATGCGTATGAATGCCCCGCTGCATGGAAGACTTTCTTTCTCGGCTGTTTGAGTCCCATGAATGTGTATTCGAAGTACTCGCCTGGCAGCAGTTCCGGGATCACCTGCGGTTGGTTCATCAACAACGTAAAGAAAGACATAGAAGGAACGAAGACATACATCAGTGAAGCGAGTACGCTTGTGTGTTCCTTTGGCATGGTTTCCTTTGAAAAGGTCGTGCATCACTTTGAGAGTCGATACAGACGGAACTAGAGTCCATTGGCCCCGGCGAAAGAGCTCGACCATATCGGAATGCACTGGCAAATTTGCTGGTAAGCAACAAAAGAGACAAACCGGAAAAGCAGTCCTTACCTTCGGCTTTGAGAGAGCTTGTGTGCCAGAATTTGTCTATTTCACCGCGCTTCAGACCGAGGCAGTATTCGATCTCGTCTAGCTGTGTTGGCTTGAACGAGTGTTCAGTCCCCAAGGTGGGTCGTAAACACTTACCGTATCATCCTTGTGGACGACAAAGATTTCAGCCATTTTGGAGGAAGTTACAGTGGTTATATCTTGAAGATATACAAAGTTAGACATGTCGGAGAGCAGGATGGCGATGGGGGAATGTCAAAGAGCTTTGTGACAGTGACGACCTCGTGACTCAATTCGATGTCTTTGTTCTCGCCACTGTAGGCTCAAATCCTGTCCTTCATTTCTGTAAGCCTCCCCGCCGCTTCTCCTTCATAGACGCCCACATAACCTGCTCCTTCGATTTCGGGCGTTACGCGATCGAGGGCTGATATGTGGCCGGGGCAGTGCTAGTAATAGTAGTATGAGTTGAGTACTAGAGTTGAGAGGTGAAACGTACCCCAGGCGTGTTGAGGATGTACAAGCTCCCGCCGTGGAAGTAATCTAGCGCGTCGAGACCCGTGATGTGTATGTCGGATCGCGTGAAGGCCAGTTTGACGACGTTGCGATTTTTGGAGTGTACGTCAGGCAAGAAGTTACGAGAATGTTTATGCTTACGCGAAGTCGCTCTCCAGGAGCGTTGAAGATGGCTGTGTCGGATATGTGCGCATGCGCGTGTCTTGGTGTATGACGAGTTCTGTGGTCAATGTTTATACACTTTCGGAACGTTCTTCATATGAATGATCCTTCCGAATACCCAAGTCGAACATAACACGTCCTAGAGTGGGGGTGCTCGATCTGCCAGCGTCGATTATGCGTATACCGAGACGGTAGAGCTACCTGCTGGGAGTTTTGGGAGCGAGATCGTTAGACAGGTGATAGCAATGGTGAGAGTACGCACCTCTTTGTTATGATATATGAAGTAGAGTTTGTTACTGCGTTGACTACACGGTATTCCCGGGCGATCGGGAAATATAACGGAAGAGAAGGGCGTTGAGCGGACTAGTCCTAATGGAACGGCATGAACTTACTAAGTCGCTGGGACAAGGGTTGGTGTATGACCTCGAGATGCTTGAGCTTGTGGCCAAGTCGCAATCACTGAGAAGCATGAAGCGCAGTCACACAAGCAGCTGTCTGGCCCCATAGGTGCAACACGCTCTAACAGCGAGTCGCAGAACGAGTTTCGATCGAGTACTTTGGAAAAGCCGTCGAAGGCGGAGACAGCGGCTCAATTTTGCTACATACGTACATGAGAACAAGGGCGGTTACGATGCAGAGTTTCAGCAGGCCGGCTTCGACAATTAAAAGCATCCGCGGGAGCAAATCGGGCAGTGATAAGGTCATCTGACAGGGAAGATGTACCCCAGAATGGTTACTTTTGTTCTTCCAGGTACGGAAACACAATGTTCGAAGAGCGGGGAGCGAGGTAGGACAATTAAGGATACTCCGAATTGGGAAGAAGGCGGGTAGAATGCCTACAGAGATAATTGGGCCTTCAAGGCGAATTGTTCTTGCAGATGGACGTTGTTAAGAGCGGAGAGCAACGGAGTACCAAAGATAGGACCTAGGCTCGAACTTGGGCCGGGAGGTGAAAACCGAAAGAGAGTGTTATGGTCTATTTGTACACCAAGGCTATTGTACCCCGACGCTTTTTGTCCGAAAACAGTATAAGAGCAATGCGGATTCAAAAGGGCTCCCTCATCGAGCTAGTCTCCCATTTTCCATCCCACTAATCTCTCTCTGTCTGTTTTCCTAACGGTGCGTACATCGTTCTCAACAGCGACGACGGCCATACTGATCACGACGAGCAGACCGTTCATACCCATCATGTCCCGCGCACGATCTGCCACGTTCACCACCTCTATCTGCGCCTGGGCTGCTGCCGTTCAGCCTGGAACACCTGCGCCGCCAACGCCCGCGACGAGCAAGTCTACCTACACGCCTTCATCGGCACATCAGTTCGATCTGACCGCGCTCGGATACACCTCGGTGTTTGTCCATCTACCCACAACGCCCTCTACACCTGACGCGCCTACCCATGCATCTCCGTCCAAGCTCGCAGCAGTCTTCTCTCGCTCACGCGCACGGTCCAAGAGCGTGTCCACCTCCCCATTTAAACGGCCTTCCAAGTCCCAAGCGCCGCCCCTCCCGCCAACCCTCATGGACGACATTCTGCTTGCACAGTTTAGCGGTGGCGGCAAGCTCGACACGCATATGGCGCGTGCTGTCGGCGACGGCGCCGTTGCCGACGGTCAAGGCGCTGTATGGTGGGACGAAGAGGAATACGAGCCGCTCTTACCGAAAGAGCCTGTGCGCAAGGACAAAAAGCGCAGGCCGGCGCCGCTGACCCTTGCCCAGCGAGAGTTTTTTGCAACGGCATTTGTACCACCACCGTCTGCTCCCCTTCCTACCCCGAAGAAAAATGGCAAGATGAGCGTTCGTGCGTTCTTTTCCCGCGCAGCTTAGGTATGTTCTTCTTCTTTTGCTCTCTTCCTTGACGACTGACACTCATTTCAGGTCTGTCGCGTTCATGCCCTTTGGATGTTTTGTCATCTGTCCAGTCTTTTCCGTTCTTCATGCCGCCGTTATGCCCTGCGACTCTTGCACAATTTGTATACCCGTTCTCCACCCACTGTATCCATTACTGTATCCATAATGTAGCGCGACTCTAATTACTGTTTCTATGCTCTGTATGTAGAAAAGTATAACACATGTTCTCGCGTGCGATGAATCTTTGCTGTAACAATGTCCTTCACGTACAGTATTCGCTGTGGGTTATCTCGAAGAAATCTAATCCCAGGGGAGTCTTAGGTATTCCTGCATTGGCTTTGGTGTGTTCAGCAGCCTACTAAATAAGGCAGATTGCTATCCTGTGAAGTCCGACGCGGGCTGCTGGAGATTTACTGCGCCACTCTAAAGTACTGGTATTCAGAATGCTGCAAGCTCTGAGAGTCTTAGAGAGCAAAAAGAGGGGTCGGAAGAGACGCTGCCCCAGAGAGGCTCGAACTCTCGACCTTCCGATGTAAGTTGCCTATAAGACATTAACAGTCGGACGCTGTAACCAACTCAGCCATGGGGCACGTGTCCAGTGCTCTATTTCTCGTTACTAGTCGCGACCCTGGAGTAGGCAAAACAAAGGTCCATCCTGGGTCCATCGTGCATTTTCCATCTTACATCTGCTGTCCATTTGTCGGCATTCGTCTCAAGGTCAGACCAGGGCATTCCTCTAATGCCGTACGTCTTCGATGCCCTTCCGTCCGCCGTCAATCACCCTGACATGTCATCAACATACTCTACTTGCCTTTTGCGTTCGTCCCACCTCTTCCTTGGCAGGTTTTATCAAAGGCTCTATTATCCAATGGCTGCGATGCATCGACCTGATACCAACTCGACAACTCTGGCCGCAGGAACCATGTTACCAAACGCGTGTGCTTGCTCAACAAAACACACTCCGGATATCCGGTTGCTGGTTTGTTGTCATCTCGATAGCGGACCTTTCCCTGCTCTCTGCACAAAAATAATGTGAGATGCGAAAGTTTGGATGCAATTCCGTACCCCGTCGATCCCCTGACATGTCCTCCACGTCGGCCGCGCTTACCTCTTGCGTTCTATCCACCTCATCCTTGGAGATTCTCCAATGGCTGCGATACGCCGACCTGACACCGGCACAGCTGCTAACATTGGACGCTGAATAAATGTTACCATTAGGATGTCAACGAAACACTCCGATTGTTGGATTGTTGTCATCTCGATCTGCTCCGTCCGAAGAAAGTTCACAGAGGTACCGAAGCAACACTGCGATTCAAATGCCGTACAGAAACCTTCTGATCTTGGTCTCTAGTGGCGTTCCAAATCAGCTTACATCTGTTTGAGGTATGGGTCCCCGTCGCGCTCAGGCTCATACAGATTAATGCTTCACATCTCGATATCTCGTGGCAGCTATGACACCGGTGCGTTCTCAGTCGTTCTCGTATGAGTTTCTACTTGACCTTTTCAAGAACGGCTCCGTGGATTGTATGACAGCTGTGATAACTGCGGAATCCTTACAGCATCAAGAAATCCGCCTCCGTATACGATTGCTCCGCCATTTTGATGGCTGATCAATCAAAACCTGATCAGTGGCCTCCGTCGAGGTCGAACCTGCAATCCAACACGAAGCTTGGGTTAACGGCGAAGGGCCGAATGTTCGACTTGAACAAGAATGAAAACACCGACTTTCAGGCTTAAAGGGTAGGGTCCTCATGGGCGGAGAGGCCGCACATTGTTATTTCGAATGTATAGGTCTACTCCGCTTTTCCGCTTTGCCTCCTAGATATGTATCAACGCCATTCTTGCCCATAAAGGTGCGTTTGTCTGTTTTCTTTTCAACAAAAACGACATGACTCTCTCGCAGGACCCACCCGCCAGTTTCGACTTGAAGGCTCAGCTTGTAGCCTACTTCATCGGTCTGGCTACATCCAATCCGACCACAGGTGCTATAGTGGCGGTTATTCTCTATGTGTTATCTGCTCTCACCCTTCTCGTCGTTCCGCTCATCTGGCCGGGAAGCGTACTCTCGCTGACGCGGCGTACCATAAACGACACCCGCGACTGGCTCGAGGACCTTGCTCGTCGTCGAGCGAACGGAGCCATGTACCGCATCTGCGCGTCAGGTCATTTCGCGTTGGATGAGTGCGTTGTCTTGTTGCTCCATGCGGAATGCTTTGACTAAACCACTTGTAGAATCCATGAACGCGTTCATGATCTCGAATCACTCCATCGACGCCGCCTCCGCCCGTTGCATATTTTCAAGTATGCACTGGGTGCATACAGCCTCTCTCGTGCGGCGCATGCTTGTATGCGTGAGGCCGATACTCTGAGAATCAATCTGGAGAATCAAGTACGTCTCAACTTGCACTCAAGAATGACTGTTTTCATGCCTTTCGCAGGTCAGAGGATTGAGATCCTCCTCTTCGACGCCTCCGTCCGTAGCTACATAGAGAGATAATAGTTGGAATCGAGCGCTTCTTTACGAGAACACTAGATGTTCACCTTGTTGTTGCCCTCTCGCCCCTGGGGGTGAGCCGAACTAGTTGTCAAAAATTCCCAATGGACTGTTGTCTCCATTCTCTTTCCTCGCTTCTCTGTAGGATTTTTTATTTCTAGATTCTTGGCGTTACCGAATCATTTCCGAGTCCTTTAGCTTTCGTCGATGACAATTTAGAATTGCACTATTTGGCGCGCGTCTGGAAGTGATTTTATGGCACGTTTGTTGAAGCAGTAAGACGATGCGTTGCATGGCGACGTGTCTTCGGAAAGCATGGATTAGATTGACGCGTTGAACGCGATTGATCGGCTATCTCGGAGATGTTGATTAACACCGAGTGGCATCAAACGGAGTTGCTTCTCGCGTTCATGTACTTGACTGGCGACTTGACATGTCGCGGTTTACTTTCAGATTCTCTCATTTCCGATATCTCCTACCTGCATATGTAGTCTCTGCTTCTCCTTTCAAGTTTTCCTACGGTTCTGCGGACGGCGAGTTCAAGGCCTACTTCATATGCCTGGACGCAAGTGACAGTTTCTTATAGAGAAACCCGACGTCGCGTGGAGAAACATTTCCTATCTAAACGTGGTGCCTGGAATGGCGCGCTTTGATTATCACACGATCGCAAAGTGGGTCTTTGAACTTTTGGTTCCAACCTCTTATCGATTTTTGCTCTAGGAACCGCATATTGGAGTATCATGTTGATGTCATAACGACGCATGAAAATGGCTACCCAGTATCGACTTACTGCCTTTTCGATAACCACTACGGATATCGGACAACTCTATGGGTGAACTCGCGGTTTGAGAACTTGTTCATCGAACGGTGGCGTAATCGCATCTCAGCAGTGCCTGAACTACACGCGTCCTCGGCAGATCTCAAACCAGAAAATCTATATCCATCCGCGGAAGAGATGGAAACGCTATTGAAGGACATTTTTGTGGATATTGACGACGAGCTCGTATATCTGAGCGCCTATGCCCTTTCTGCTATGTGGACAAGGCGCGTAGATAGGTGGGAGCCAAAGGTAGACGAGCCTGATCCTCCGACGCCGCCTGAGGTTTTGGCAGGTCTGTCTGGCTCATCCCTCCTGGCTGTCATATGGGACTCGACGACGCGTTTGGTGCATATTGCTAATACTGGAAATCCGGGCGCCATATTTGCTCGAAGGAGAACCTCTGGCACTGGCGAGTATGATGTCGAGGTTCTCGCGGCATTACCACGGCCTGACGATCTCCTACGGGTCCAAAGGGTCCATCCCGGGGAGAAACAAATCGTTGATGCGTCTGGGCGGCTGTGGGGAACGGTGCCACTCCGAGTGTTTGGTATGGTACCGTGGAAATGGACGAACGAGATCCGTAGATTGGTCGGCTGGACTGAAGATCCTCACTTCGAGGCCAACGTTCGGACCCCTCCATACCTCACCGCTGAGCCTATCACAGCGAGCGTCAGGGCAGAGGAGGGTGACGTGCTGATTTTAGCGTCAGCGGGCATCTTTCCATCTTCTTTGTCTCCGAAGGAGAGATTCGATCTTGTCAATAAATGTCTCACTGACCCAACGCCACCGGCGACGAAGCAGGCGCAGAAGGAGGAAAAACAGACAAGCGCTGCGGCACCGCCAGATCATTGGTACTGCGCCTCTCAAGGCTACTTCAATAGTCCGGCATCGCATCAATATGAAACTCAGAATGCAGATGGTCTGTATGAAGAGCGGAATGTCGCACGACGGGTAATGGAGTCCTTGGGTTGGACTGGGGATGGCAAATTAGTGAAGGAGATGGAGGACGGTGATAGGGTTACAATGATGGTACTAGTATTTGGAAAATAGATTGCCTTGTAAAGGTTGTATTGCGGTTTGCAAGTTGTCTGCAGATTTTGGCGGCTATCTCCGTTCGGCAACTGCCGAATGCCTCATCGTCACCGTGACTGCTACGCGCTACAGCTTTGCTTCCTTCCTCCATGTACACGCGAGACGACCATTCATAATGCGATGCTTCGGATATAGACTGCCACGGATGCGCTATGCGCTATACTCCATTGCTGGATCAAGCATCCGATACCGATACAATCTGGCAGACGGTGTTCTCGCTTTTATTGCTCTTCATTCGCGGACTTATCATTAATGGCTTTCTCCAGAGGATTTTGATGTTGAATGGGACGTCAAATATAAAGATCCAGCATCATTCCTGCCTGTTGATCTCCATCACATTACTTTGAACAGGTATATATCTTCACGCTTTTCCAGAGCCTTGAAATAACGTGTGATTTCAGAAACGATAATAAGACGTGCGGAATGACATACATGAGGAGGGAACAGGGCTTGAAAGATTGCTCCATGTCCATAACCTGTCTTCTCGACGGTCATGGTGGAGGTAGCACGACGCATTGGCTTGCAACTCGCCTTGCGGATAGGCTTGTCGACCGCTACTGGGACCTGTACTACAAAACTCGGCGTGGATTTATGTGGCTGTACCATCCCTCGAAATTTCATGCGCTCGGTCAGACAGACGACTCTGACGCGCGTGGAGCTACCCCGGAAGAGATTACTGGAATGATGAAGAAGACGTTCTTGGAAGTAGACAACGACCTCGTGGCTCTCGGCGCACACCTCTTCTCCGCGAAGTTGGCCAGACGGTGGGGCTCCACGCCCAACGTTGATCGTTCTATGGATGACCCGCTGCTACGGGCAGCAGTACAAGGCTGCTCGGTAATTGTCGTGTTATACGACCACGCCACGCGGCTAGTGCATGTTGCAAACAGTGGTAGTAGTACGGGGGTTATTTTGGCAAGACCACGCGATTGTGGGCAGCAGCGCGCCTATGACGTGGAAGTGCTTGCGCGACCAACCGTTGAGGACGAGCACCAACTCCGGGCCCATCATCCCGGTGAAGGCAACCTCTTGGGCCAGAATGGGTGGCTCTGGGGTTATTCCCCGCTTCGCGTCTTTGGACACGCGCCATGTAAGTGGACGAAAGATGAACGCCAAATGATCGGTTTTCCCGATTTTCCACACGATGCGGCGACGCCGCCTTACCTGACAGCGGAACCTACGAC